TAAATTAAATAGTTCAACAACTGTATTTGTTTCAAATATCAAAAATATGTTTTTTTTAATTTTTAGTTATAATTTACAGGAACCTGTAAATTTAATTTCTTTGACGACACTGAAAAAAAGTTTATTTTTAACTTTATTCTAAAACAATAAAAAATAGACCTATCTAACCCCATATTTTTATAATCAGAAAAAAATAACGAATTTAATAAGCAAATAATCAGTGGTTGTTTCCATTTAAAAAAACGAAAATTGTCATAATATCTCAAAATCTAAAACCGAAAAAATTTTTTTGACTACGTAATTAAATTCTCTGTAAAAAAGTGTCCATATAATGTCTTAGTTATAATACTCCACCTATAATAATAACCAAGATAATTGCACTTGCTGGTTTTACGATATTTTCAATTTTGGCCTCTAGGGGAAAAACAAAAGACGGTAGCGCTTTGAGGTTTTTGGCATTAGCAGTTTCTCGAAAAACAAGATTGAGTCATGTAAGCTACTTTTTTTCTAACTCTTATAACCTGTACAGGGTGGTAAAAAGTAGCTCTCATGTCTCGATCTCTTTGTTTAATTAAATTCCAATGTCGAAAACCTCAAAGTGCTATCGTCTTTTGTTTTTCCCCTGGAGGCCAAAATTGAAAATATTGTGAAACCACCAAGTGCAATTATCTTGGTTATTATTATAGGTGGAATATTGTAACGGTTTTAGATTTTGAGATATCACAATTTTCGTTTTTTTAAATGGAAACAACCACTGATTATTCGCTAATTAAATTCGTTATTTTTTTCTGATTACAAAAATATAGGGTTCGACAGGTCTATTTCTTATTGTTTTAGAATAAAGCTAAAAATAAACTTTTTTTTTAGTATCGTCGAAGAAATTAAATTTACAGTTTCCTGTAAATTACGGTACTATAGCTAAAAATTAAAAAAACATATTTCTCCAGTCCAAAACAATGCAATCCATTAAATATTTCTGTATTAATAGTCGGTGTAATAAACATAATTATTTGTTTTTAAATACCAAAAAAATAATACCCCGTAATTTAAATACCGCCTCATAATTTACAGAAAACTGTAATTTAATTTCTTCGACGACACTAGATTTCGGCGACGTTTAATAATTTAAATTTATTCTAAAACAATAAGAAATAAACCTATCTAACCCCATATTTTTGTAATCAGAAAAAAATAACGAATTTAATAAGCGAATAATCAGTAATTGTTTCCATTTAAAAAAACAAAAATTGTCATAATATCTCAAAATATAAAACCGAAAAAAAATTTTTGACTACGTCATTAATTTCTCTGTAAAAAAGTGTCCATATAATGTCTTAGTTATAATACTCCACCTATAGTAATAACCAAGATAATTGTACTTGCTGGTTTTACGATATTTTCAATTTTGGCTTCTAGGGGAAAAACAAAAGACGATAGCGCTTTGAGGTTTTCGACATTGGAATTTATTTAAAAAAAGAGATCGAGACATGTAAGCTACTTTTTTTCTAACTTTTATACTTTCCGAGATAGCCTAGTCAGACATCNTTATTATAGGTGGAATATTGTAACGGTTTTAGATTTTGAGATATCACAATTTTCGTTTTTTTAAATGGAAACAACCACTGATTATTCGCTTATTAAATTCTTTATTTTTTTCTGATTACAAAAATATAGGGTTCGACAGGTCTATTTCTTATTGTTTTAGAATAAAGTTAAAAATAAACTTTTTTTTTTTAGTGTCGTCGAAGAAATTAAATTTACAGTTTCCTGTAAATTACGGTACTATAGCTAAAAATTTAAAAAAAATCTTCAGCAATCCATTAAATATTTCTGTATTAATAGTTGGTGTAATAAACATAATTATTTGTTTTTAAATACCAAAAAAATAATATCCCGTAATTTAAATACCGCCTCATAATTTACAGAAAACTGTAATTTAATTTCTTCGACGACACTAGATTTCGGCGGCGTTTAATAATTTAAATTTATTCTAAAACAATAAGAAATATCTAACCCTATATTTTTGTAATCAGAAAAAAATAACGAATTTAATAAGCGAATAATCAGTAATTGTTTCCATTAAAAAAAACAAAAATTGTCATAATATCTCAAAATCTAAAACCGAAACAATTTTTTTGACTACGTCATTAAATTCTCTGTAAAAAAGTGTCTATATAATGTCTTAGTTATAATACTCCACGTATAATAATAACCAAGATAATTGCACTTGCTGGTTTTTACGATATTTTCAATTTTGGCCTCTAGGGGAAAAACAAAAGACGATAGCGCTTTGAGGTTTTCGACATTGGAATTTATTTAAAAAAAGAGATCGAGACATGTAAGCTACTTTTTTTCTAACTCTTATACTTTCCGAGATAGCCTATTCAGACATCGAATTTGAACCACCCTGTATTTATTACTTATTTTTATTTTTTTTCCTTTTAAAATAAGAGTTGTCTGTTTGAAATTTCGCACTTAACAAAACCACACGTTTAGAGAGGTTGCTTACAAATGAGTCACTTTTTTTTTGCCTTAGGACTTTATTCTTTTATTTTTCTTGGGTTTATACAGGGTGAGTTATTAGTATCTCGGCGGTCGATAGTTACTAAACCGTTTGAGCAAGAAAAAAATGTTTTATACAAAAGTTGTTTGACTCACCACTTTCTATTACGTAAAATTATTTTCACTTATACAGGGTGTTCCATTTAGGCGTAACGGAGATTATGTAGATTTTTTTTAATGGAACAGCCTGTATATTTTATCATATTATGAATAGAATTACATTTATTTATACAACCGTATATATTACTAACTCATAGCGTTCATAATTCCTGAGATATTCATTTGTTTTTTCAAAATGTGCCCAAAAAAAACGATATATACAGGGTGTATCTGAATGACTGCAACAAACTTCAAGGGGTGATTCTTTAGTGAATTTTAAGGGTACTTTGATATATGAACCATGGGTGACTTTGGCTCCCCTAAGGAGCTACACCCCTTCAAAAATGGCGGAAAATTTTGGTTTAATTTCTTTTTCTCAAAAACCATAAACGATAGGAAAATGAAATTTGGGGAATATGTTTAACTCATAATAGGGCACGTTTTGACCCTATTTGTACTTTCAACCTACCCTTCTAAACTACTAAACGTAACCACCCCCGTTCAATTTATGCCTAGATTTTTTTTATGAAGATGATAAATACATTGGAAAAATTTCAGTTAGATAGATAAAACTATTCTAAAACTTTTTTGTCTCTCTGATGTTCTTCTAAAAATTAATAATTTCTGAGAAAAAAAATAATTAAGCAAACACTAACTGTTAAGCTGTAGGGTTGTTAATCGAAAGTTGGAATGAATTTTTAATGAAAAAATCTTAGTAGGCTTTGCAATCTTTGTCAGAAATATTTTTGACGTTTAAATGTCAGTTTTTCTTACTATTATTATTGTTTTTCAAATTAATTTTTGAATAAAGTTCTATCGCATTTACGCTCGTTCACTCGACGTTTCAAAATTTTAAATAAAACAATAATAATAGTAAGAAAACCACTGACATTTAAACGTCAAAAATATTTCTGACAAAGATTGCAAAGCCTACTAAGATTTTTTCATTAAAAATTCATTCCAACTTTCGATTAACAACCCTACAGCTTAACAGTTAGTGTTTGCTTAATTATTTTTTTTCTCAGAAATTATTAATTTTTAGAAGAACATCAGAGAGACAAAAAAGTTTTAGAATAGTTTTATCTATCTAACTGAAATTTTTCCAATGTATTTATCATCTTCATAAAAAAAATCTAGGCATAAATTGAACGGGGGTGGTTACGTTTAGTAGTTTAGAAGGGTAGGTTGAAAGTACAAATAGGGTCAAAACGTGCCCTATTATGAGTTAAACATATTCCCCAAATTTCATTTTCCTAGCGTTTATGGTTTTTGAGAAAAAAAAATTAAACCAAAATTTTCCGCCATTTTTGAAGGGGTGTAGCTCCTTAGGGGAGCCGAAGTCGCCCATGGTTCATATATCAAAGTACCCTTAAAATTCACTAAAGAATCACCCCTTGAAGTTTGTTGCAGTCATTCAGATACACCCTGTATATTTCAAAATTGCAGGATCTTTTTAAAAACGATATAAAAACGACATTTTTTCCAATTTTACTTTGAAACTATGTCAGATAATAGTCAAAGCCAATAGGTAAATGATAAAATTTAAAGATATTAGATACGCTATACAGCGTGTTCATAAAGCTTAGTTACTTTTGATGTTTTTCAAATGCCTTTTTCATAAGTTTTTTAAACGGAACACCTTGTATATTGTGTGCTGGTTGAATTGCCCATCAAGTTACCTTTAATTAATGATAAGTATGTTATATATCTAACTTTAGTACTTTTCTTAATATTTAGAATTTAAAGAATAATGTGTAATAAAATATGCATTATTGTACTTAATATGGGGCATATTTTATTTTTTCGATAAAAAGAAAAAAAAATATATGAAACAAAACTTGTCAAAGAATGTCGGTTGTTGGATTCCGTTATCAGTTTTTCAAAATTAGGGCTCCCTAACTTTTTAAGGGCGATTTAATGGAATTACATTGCGTCTTACTAAACCGCGATTTTCCGCGAAACTGTATGGAATATCGAAAAAATAAAATATGCCACTCATTAAAAACACATCAAGCTACTATCTGCTCAAAATTCAAATTTTTTTGTACGATAGTTTTCGAGAAAAAAAATCGCAAAGTTCATAAAGTTGCCGGTACCGTAGCAGAAAGTAAAAACCGATTGAAATGTGAAAATTAAAACAACGAATAAATATTGTGCATAAAAACTGTTGTTGAAGAATGACACTCTGATATTATTAACGATTTAATTGTCCATAATTGCATGGTAAATATGTTTTTAAGTATTCAAATGTTCTTACTTTTAATTGTATAATAGTCCGTATTTGTAGCAATTATGATTTTTTTATATAAAATTGAGTTATTTCATATTCACTGCTACAGTTTGTTAGACATGGATAAAATTTTTAAAGACGAAATGATTTCCAACTTACAACAAATAATTTATTTATTAATATATTCTTTATTTATAATTTTAGTAATAAAAATTTATTTTATATGTACCATGGGTTGGAATAAAAGTAATGTTTGTTTAATAGGAAAAACCGTTTTAATAACAGGCGGAAATTCAGGTAAGAGAAACTGTTTAATTTCAAATTTAAAACAACATTTTTCGTTTAAGGAATGGGTTATCAAACAGCTTTAATGTTAGCTAGTAGAGGTGCAAAAATCATTTTAGCAGATAAAGACGATTTAATCCAATCGAAAAAGAAAATAATCGAAGAAACCAAAAATGATAAAATAATCACGAAATATCTAGATTTATCGAATTTAGACACAGTCAAATCGCTTGCTAAAGAAATTAACGAAGAAGAGGATCGGTTAGATGTTTTAATAAATAATGCGGGAATTTCGGGGTATTTCCCCGGATTTACTAAAGATGGATTACAATTTTTAATGCAAGTGAATTATTTTGGACCGTTTTTATTAACACATCTCTTAATACCTTTATTAAAAAAATCAGCTCCGAGTAGGATCATTTTTGTTAGCTCAATTGCTGCTTTTTTTCCATCGAATTTTAGGGTTGATTATTTAAATAATGACCCAAAAACTTTATTTGAGAAAAATTTTCACTACGTTAACTCAAAACTTTGTAATGATATTGCATCAATTGGTTTTGCGAAAAAATTAATGAACACTGGAGTCACTTGTAATGCTTTAAACCCGGGGTTAGTCAAAACAGCCTTGCTAAAAACAGCTATAAAAGTTTCTGGATTAAGTTTTTTCACACCAATTTTAAACGTTTTGGTGTTATTATTTGGGAAGGTTTGTTTTTGTTTAATTTGATTGGTATTGTTTAATATTATTTTTATGAATTAGACGTCTTATGAAGGAGCACAAACTCATGCTTATCTAGCGATGGCTGAGGAAGTTAAAAATATCACTGGAGCATTTTTTTCGGATTGCAAGCAATGGGGTCATCCTTGGGTAACGAGGAATAAAGAGCTTTGTAAAGCCGTTTGGGAAGAAAGTGAAAAATTTGTAAAGTTATCATCAAAAGATAAAATATAAATAAATATTTATTTAGAACCCAATAAAGTTATAATTTCTCATTTGGTTGTAAATTGACTAATTCTTCCGTTTTTTTCCATATATTTTCACACAAAACTTTATTCCTCAACATAAACGGTTGGAAAAATTTTCTGCAATCGATAAAAAATTCTCCTGAAACGTTTTGAACTTCATTCGCCATCGCTAAATACGCATGGGTTTGTGCCCCTTCATGTGGTGACTAAAAAGAACTTTTAAGTAAGAGCAAAAAATTAGAATCAAAAAATAAATTACTTTTCCAATCAACCCAGCCAAACCATACCAAAAATATTGCAAAATTATGTTATCCTTACAAGACATCATTGTTTTTACCATTGGTGTTGTAACAATCCCTGGATGAAGAGCATTACAAGTAACCCCAGTTCCTTTTAATCTTTCTGCAAAACCAACCGAACAAATTGCATCGCAAAGCTTACTGTTACTGTATGGAATGTAATGATCCAATAGTGGTATAACATTTCTAAATGATTTAGTCAACGAATTCACGTTTAAAAAGGAAGTATACGCTGATATCGAGCTTACGAAAATGATTCTACTCGGCGCGGTTTGTTTTAATTTGTCGATTAAAAGATGTGTTAAAAGAAATGGCCCAAAGTAATTAATTTGTATTTGAAGTTGTAATCCATCCTTTGTGATCCCACGAACATCACCTGCAACTCCTGCGTTATTTATTAAAATGTCTAAACGTTCCTCGTTAGCAATGATATCATCGGCGAATTTTCTAACGGTTTTAAAATCGGCTAAATCTACAAATTTTCCGATAACGTTTGGATTTTTTGTTTCTTCTATTATTGTTTTAACCACATCCGTTGAATCTTTTCTATCACCCAAAATAACTCTAGCTCCTCTACTTGCTAATATTAGCGCAGTTTCATACCCTAAACCTACAAAGTTATATCAAAAATAATAAGAATTATTTATTAATGATAAGATTTATCATACCCGATCTTCCTCCGGTAATAATTGCGGTTTTTCCCACTAAACAAACGTTGCTTTTATTCCAACCCATCGTTAATACGTTAAAGACCCTAATAACAATGACGGCAACAACAAAATAAAGTATTATATTGATAGAAAAAAACATGATGTCGTTCAAAGATTTGTCCCCTTTCAACTGATATATTTATCGTAACTTTCCACGTAAAGTTAATTCTAATGTAATTTTACGGTCGTTTTCGCCGTACGCACATTAAACTATCAAGGCATAGTTGATGAAATTAATTGGTAATGATATATACGTGTTTATGACGCTTTTCTAGGTTATCGTTATTCATTATACATAATTATGCACGTTTCCCATTGAGGAGATAATTTGAATTTTACAATTGTGGTTGTAAAGTTACCGTTTAAATTCCTTACGCAGCAAATAAATTGATTTTGAGTCATTTTGATACTAAATAAAAAAAAGAAATTAAGTTTCAATTTGAGATCTCTATAAAGTTTCCTATAAAATGAGTACAAACACGACATATTTATCTTTAAAGATAATCGAAATATACGACTTCCGGTTGTAAAGGTCAACTTTAATTTTGATGTATTCTTGGTCCTCATAAAAAATCCTTTAAAATGAGTCCAAACACGATGGGGTTATCTCAAAAAATACCCGAGATAGTATTTTTTAATGATATGTTGCTAACTTCATGTTGCCAACTTAATTTTTTTTGTTATATCTTTTTTATTATTTGAGATAAATTGATCGAGTTTGGATTCAAATTAAAGAATTTTTTATGAAGATTAAGAAAATCGTAAAATTAAAGTTGACGTTTATAACCGGAAGTTGGCCATATTTCGGTTAAATTTAAAGTTGAACATGGCATGTTTATACTCGTTTTAAAGCGTTTTCAATTAAGATTATGAATTTTCAATTAATGAATATTTTTCTTTTAAATTAGCGTCATTTTGGTTACTTCCGGTTGTCAATGTCAAATTTAATTTTGATGTATTTTTGATCCTCATAAAAAATCCTTTAAAATGAGTCCAAACACGATGGGGTTATCTCAAAAAATACCCGAGATATTATTTTTTAATATTATGTTGCTAACTTCATGTTGCCAACTTAATTTTTTTTGTTATATCTTTGTTATTATTTGAGATAAATTGATCGAGTTTGGATTCAAATTAAAGGATTTTTTATGAAGATTAAGAAAATCGTAAAATTAAAGTTGACGTTTATAACCGGAAGTTGGCCATATTTCGGTTAAATTTAAAGTTGAATATGGCATGTTTATACTCGTTTTAAAGCGTTTTCAATTAAGATTATGAATTTTCAATTAATGAATATTTTTCTTTTAAATTAGCGTCATATTGGTTACTTCCGGTTGTCAATGTCAAATTTAATTTTTATGTATTTTTGATCTTCGTAAAAAATCCTTTAAAATGAGTCCAAACACGATGGGGTTATCTCAAAAAATACCCGAGATACTAAATTTTAATATAATGTTGCTAACTTCAGGTTGCCAACTTAAATTTTGTTGTTATATCTTTCTTGTAATTTAAGATGAATTGATCGAGTTTGGATTCAAATTAAAGAATTTTTTATGAAGATTAAGAAAATCGTAAAATTAAAGTTGACGTTATAACCGGAAGTTGGCCACATTTCGGTTAAATTTAAAGTTGAACATAGCATGTTTATACTCGTTTTAAAGCGTTTTTAATTAAGATTATGAATTTTCAATTAATAAATATTTTTCTTTTAAATTAGCGTCATTTTGGTTACTTCCAGTTGTCAATGTCAAATTTAATTTTGATGTATTTTTGATCCTCATAAAAAATCCTTTAAAATGAATCCAAACACGATGGGGTTATCTCAAAAAATACCCGAGATATTAAATTTTAATATTATGTTGCTAACTTCATGTTGCCAACTTAATTTTTTTTGTTATATCTTTGTTATTATTTGAGATAAATTGATCGAGTTTGGATTCAAATTAAAGGATTTTTTATGAAGATTAAGAAAATCGTAAAATTAAAGTTGACGTTTATAACCGGAAGTTGGCCATATTTCGGTTAAATTTAAAGTTGAACATGGCATGTTTATACTCGTTTTAAAGCGTTTTCAATTAAGATTATGAATTTTCAATTAATGAATATTTTTCTTTTAAATTAGCGTCATTTTGGTTACTTCCGGTTGTCAACGTCAATTTTAAATTTGATGAATTTTTGATCTCCACAAAAAATCCTTTAAAATGAGTCCAAACACGATGGGGTTATCTCAAAAAATATCCGAGATAGTATTTTTTAATGATATGTTGCTAACTTCATGTTGCCAACTTAATTTTTTTTGTTATATCTTTGTTATTATTTGAGATAAATTAATCGAGTTTGGATTCAAATTAAAGAATTTTTAATGAAGATTAAGAAAATCGTAAAATTAAAGTTGATGTTTATAACCGGAAGTTGGCCACATTTCGGTTAAATTTAAAGTTGAATATGGCATGTTTATACTCATTTTAAAGCGTTTTCAATTAAGATTATGAATTTTCAATTAATAAATATTTTTCCTTTAAATTAGCGTCATTTTGGTAACTTCCGGTTGTCAATGTCAAATTTAATTTTAATGTATTTTTGATCCTCATAAAAAAATCCTTTAAAATGAGTCCAAACACGATGGGGTTATCTCAAAAAATACCCGAGATAGTATTTTTTAGTGATATGTTGCTAACTTCATGTTGCCAACTTAAATTTTTTTGTTATATCTTTGTTATTATTAGAGATAAATTGATCGAGTTTGGATTCAAATTAAAGGATTTTTTATGAAGATTAAGAAAATCGTAAAATTGAAGTTGATGTTTATAACCGGAAGTTGTCCATATTTCGGTAAAATTTAAAGTTGAACATGGCATGTTTATACTCGTTTTAAAGCGTTTTTAATTAAGATTATGAATTTTCAATTAATAAATATTTTTCTTTTAAAATAGCGTCATTTTGGATACTTCCAGTTGTCAATGTCAAATTTAATTTTGATGTATTTTTGATCCTCATAAAAAATCCTTTAAAATGAATCCAAACACGATGGGGTTATCTCAAAAAATACCCGAGATATTAAATTTTAATATTATGTTGCTAACTTCATGTTGCCAACTTAAATTTTTTTGTTATATCTTTGTTATTATTTGAGATAAATTGATCGAGTTTGGATTCAAATTAAAGGATTTTTTATGAAGATTAAGAAAATCGTAAAATTAAAGTTGACGTTTATAACCGGAAGTTGGCCATATTTCGGTTAAATTTAAAGTTGAACATGGCATGTTTATACTCGTTTTAAAGCGTTTTCAATTAAGATTATGAATTTTCAATTAATGAATATTTTTCTTTTAAATTAGCGTCATTTTGGTTACTTCCGGTTGTCAATGTCAAATTTAATTTTGATGTATTTTTGATCCTCATAAAAAATCCTTTAAAATGAGTCCAAACACGATGGGGTTATCTCAAAAAATACCCGAGATATTATTTTTTAATATTATGTTGCTAACTTCATGTTGCCAACTTAATTTTTTTTGTTATATCTTTGTTATTATTTGAGATAAATTGATCGAGTTTGGATTCAAATTAAAGGATTTTTTATGAAGATTAAGAAAATCGTAAAATTAAAGTTGACGTTTATAACCGGAAGTTGGCCATATTTCGGTTAAATTTAAAGTTGAATATGGCATGTTTATACTCGTTTTAAAGCGTTTTTAATTAAGATTATGAATTTTCAATTGATAAATGTTTTTCTTTTAAATTGGCGTTTTTTAGGTTACTTCCGGTTGTCAACGTCAATTTTAAATTTGATGAATTTTTGATTTTCACAAAAATCCTTTAAAATGAATCCAACCTCGATGGGAATATCTCAAAAGACATATATCTTTTTAATGTTATGTTGCTAACGTCATGTTGCCAACTTAAATTTTTTTGTTGTATCTTTGTTGTTATTTGAGATAAATTTATCGAGTTTGGATTCAAATTAAAGGGTTTTTGATGAAGATTAAGAAAATCGTAAAATAAAAGTTGACGTTTATAACCGGAAGCTAATTTCATGTTATAAATATAAAAAAAAGAAAAATTATCAGTCAAAATTATTTATTTAACTTAAAAATAAAAATCTACACTAACAAATATAACTAAAAAAAAAGTTTAAATAAGGGCAGCGTCATTGTTATTTAAAGCAGACTTTAATTGAACACAAAAAATGTTAAAATCTGTGATTAAGACCAACATGAACTCCATAATTGGGTTTACCCGTTCCGGGAAGTCCCCCATAATGCCTATCATATTGTCCTTGCACAAAAGCTTGGGTGTTGGGTTTGTTAACGAAATTATAACGACCACCGACTCCGACATCTGTTCCAAATCCGTTGGTGTGTTGAGCTCCAGCACCGAAAGAGCTTCCACTTGGAATATGCGAGTATTGTAAACTACCTCCGGTACTTAATGGACCATTTTTAATTCCATGCGAGATGCTTCCGGTTCCCGCAAGATGGTGATTATCATTGTTTACTAAAGTTCCAGTGTGGCTTAATTGAATACGTTTACTTCCACTGTCATAACCAATCCCGGTTTGTCTGTTTTAATTAATTAATTAATTAATTAATAATTATCGAAAAAATTTTGTTAAATTATTTTAAATATTACCTTTTTGTTCTAATTTGTTGAGAATTAAGAGGAACCAAAAGATATTCTTGTTCACCATCGGTAATAATTTCGTAGGCGAAAACACTTGTAGCGACGAAAACGACGAAGATTAATCCTTTCATGATTGTTGTTGGTGTTGGTTTGAAGACTTGAACTGTTGGGATGAGTCTGAGGATAAGTAAGAACTACGAATGCTTTTATACCGGTAGAACTGGTTCATAAAAGGGGAACACCAAATTTCTAACGTTGGGGATCCCCGTATCTTAATTTGAATAAGTTCCGTTGAACCCACACAAATACATTAAATATATGGAGCAATTTTTTTATTTATTTATAAATTAATTTCTCTTAATGACATCGTAATTAAAACCTCAACGATTTTCTTGCCACTATCTAAAATGTACTCTTTGATTATTTGTGTTTTTGCGCCCAATTTCATCGCCATAATTTCTAAGGTATCCAAACTATTCGACATTTCCTCTTCTGATAAACCTTTTAAAACCCCATTATCTTCCACACCAATTTCATAAATTGCTTTTCCTCTACCTTCATGTAGCCTCCAATTTAACTAAAACACCTTTATTTATAAAAACTTAATTTTCGTTAATTTTAATTGTTTATTACTTGAGTTATTAGGTGTTCTAATCGATTTTTTGATGGATTAATCAATTTTAATTTGTATTCAACATTCCCAGTTTGGGGTTCCGGTGGTAATCGTTTTTTATGTTCGATGTTTGCAAACAAAGAAACTATGTTGTGCGTTTCTGAACATGATCCAAATAGACTTAAAGATAAGTCCATTTATTTTATCTTAACTGATTATAGATGTCATTTTTATTTAATTTTGATGATTTTAAGACGAAAATTTGACGTTTAAAGATGACGCTTAAATTATTAATAAAATAAATAAAAGGTTAAATCGTTAATTTAATCTAATACAAAGAAAATTTAAACTAAGAATAAGATAAGGGGAATTCCACTCTTTGTAAATTTAATCACGAAAAATCAAATAAGCATTAACAAAGAGTTAGAAGGAATTCCCCAACAAACTTATCGCTTTTAGTTTCTTTAATAAGTTTTTATTCTTATCTCGTGATGTTAACCAACTCAAAACAAAGCAGATAAGGGGATTCCTCAATCCCGCTCGGATTATTCGCGGAAAAACTAATCGTTAAATAATTAAACGTATAAATACAAAATTCGCCACTTTTAGTACTTAAAGAGTTAACTCAACACCACAAAAAGAATCAACATGAAGGGATTCATCTTTTTCTTCGTTTTCGTCGCATCAAGCGTTTTCGCTTATGAAATCGTTTCTGATGGTGAACAAGAATATCTTTTGGTTCCTTTAGATTCTGGAGTTGAAGCGACAAGAACAAAAAGGTATTAAATAATTTTTATTTTTAATTAATTTAATTAAATTAATTTTATTTTTTTAGGCAAACTTCAGGAATTTACGATAGTGCTAGTAAAAGAGGTACTATTACCCACACTGGTACATTACTTAATAATAACAATCATAATCTTATGGGAACTGGGGCTATCTCTGGGGGAAAACACCAACCCGTAGGAATCGGAGGCGGTTTAGATTACACCCACAAACCAAGTGCGAGTACTTTCAGTGCTTCAGCTAATCATCTTCGAGGATTTGGAACTGACGTTGGTGCATCTGGTCGTTATAACTTTGTGAATAAACCAAATACGCAAGCTTACGTTGGAGGTAATTACAACAGACATTTTGGGGGACCCTTTGGAACTGGAAGACCTAATTATGGGGCTTTTGTTGGTTTAACTCATAGATTTTAATTCGTATTCTCAATTTATTTATTATTTACTTTTAAAATGTTCCTATAAATAAATTATAAGTTTTATATAAATGTATTGCATTATTCAATACCAACTTGTTTGTAGCATGAGTTATTATATCTTGGAGCTTCTATTCTTTATTGCAAATCAGCCAAGTTGTTGGCACCATGAGCTATTTTGCATCTTGAAGCTTTCATCCTGAATTGTAAATCTGCCAACTTGTTGATCTAATGTTAGTTCTAGTGACAGTGCAAGTGTAAAACTGGAACTAACACTACCTAGAACTAAAAGCGTTTGGGTTTAGCCGTACGTCTCTTAATTCCAACATGCGAGTACTTTCAGTGCTTCAGCTGATCATCTTCGAGGATTAGGAACTTCAGTTGGTGCATCGGGTCGTTATAATTTCATAAATAAGGCATTTTGGAGGACCTTTTGGAACGGGCAAACCCAACTATAGTGGAATTATTGGGTTGTCTCATAAATTTTAATAACACAAATCAAAGAATTTTATAAATAAATTATAATTTATTGTTAGTTAACATTAGAAATGTATACTTATAACAAAAATAATTTAAATAAACGTTCCTTTTGCCATTATAAAATTTATCTTAATTTTTTTTGATGTTATAAAAAGTAATTGAGGTTAGATTATATCAATTAATTTTGATAGTTTTTGAAAGTGAGATTAAATTTGGAATCGGAGTGGAAAGGGATTATTAGAGCTTCATCGTCAAATTTAAGTATTTTGAAATTTTAGACCATTTCGATTGGTAGCACTGAATGATGGATTCATCAATATAGTGGATGATATAAACTTTTGAGTTAATTTAGAATGGCTTTTATCTGAAATGTTTCCTTCAATGTCACAATTGGGTATTTTGTCCTTTATTATCTCTTAGGTTGGTAATACTAAATGATAAGTGAAAATTATTAAAGATATAAGTTTTTTGACTAAACTAAAATGTTTTCTGTATTAAAAATTTTTTTTAATCGTTGATATTTTTTGAATTATAATCGATTTTGTTACCGAAATCGTCAAAATTAGATATTTTGTAATTTAGATCATTTGGTTTGGTAATAATAAATGTTGGGTTAAAATATCTAATAGTACGAATTTTTGAGTTAATTTAGAATATTTTTTATTTGAAAAATTTTCTTCAATCGTTTTTGATTTTTGAGTTATAATCGATTTTAATATCCAAAATGTCAAAATTAGATATTTTGTAATTTGGATCATTTGGGTTGGTAATAATAAATGTTGGGTTAAAATATCTAATAGTATGAATTTTTGAGCTAATTTGGAATATTCTTTATCTGAAAAATTTTGTTCAATCGGTTTTGATTTTTGAGTTATAATCGATTTTAATATCCAAAATGTCAAAATTGGATATTTTGTCTTTTTTTACCTCTTAGGTTAGTGATACTGAATAATAAATGAAAATTATTGAAGATATAAGTTTTTTAACTAAACTAAAACGTTTTCTGTATTAAAAAATTTTTTAATCGTTGATATTTTTTGAATTATAACCGATTTTGTTACCGAAATCGTCAAAATTAGATATTTTGTAATTTAGATCATTTGAATTAGTAATAATAAATGTTGGGTTAAAATATCTAATAGTACGAATTTGTGAGCTAATTTAGAATGTTTTTTAACTAAAAAATTATCTTCAATCGTTTTTAATTTTTGAGTTATAATCGATTTTAATATCCAAACTGTCAAAATTGGATATTTTGTCTTTTTTTACCTCTTAGGTTGGTAATACCGGATAATAAATGAAAATTATTGAAGATATAAGTTTTTTAACTAAACTAAAACGTTTTCTGTATTAAAAAATTTTTTTAATCGTTGATATTTTTTGAATTATAACCGATTTTGTTACCGAAATCGTCAAAATTAGATATTTTATAATTTAGATCATTTGGGTTGGTAATAATAAATGTTGGGTTAAAATATCTAATAGTACGAATTTTTGAGCTAATTTAGAATATTTTTTAACTAAAAAATTATCTTCAATCGTTTTTAATTTTTGAGTTATAATCGATTTTAATATCCAAAATGTCAAAATTGGATATTTTGTCTTTTTTTACCTCTTCGGTTGGTAATACCGGATAATAAATGAAAATTATTGAAGATATAAGTTTTTTGACTAAACTAAAACGTTTTCTGTATTAAAAAATTTTTTTAATCGTTCATATTTTTTGAATTATAACCGATTTTGTTACCGAAATCGTCAAAATTAGATATTTTGTAATTTAGATCATTTAGGTTGGTAATAATAAATATTGTGTTAAAATGTCTAATAATACGAATTTTTGAGTTAATGTAGAATATATTTTTGACGTTATAAAAAGTAATGGAGGTTAGATTATATCAATTAATTTTGACAGTTTTTGAAAGTGAGGTTAAATTTTTTCTCTGCGACAGTATTGAATTCAGAACAAACATTTTAAGGTTATATTTAAATATTTGAGGCTAGATTACACCAAATTTTTATATTCTAGAGTGAACAAGTTTTAACTCAACTTTATTAACTTTATCACTTTGAGTTAGTTACCGGAAATATGTTGCAACTTCTTGATAGTATTGTTCACATGAGAACTGATAAGGTAAGAAGTTCTGTGACAAAATTTGACAGCTTTTAAGGTGATTAAAGTTATGTTTGTCATAATTAATGTCAAATACTGAAAAGCTTCACACACCATGTTGTTCTATAGCTCCGAGGCAACCACGCATTGGATTCTATATTTATAGTAGCTGTTGTAGTCCCGATTGATTTAATGACGCCGTTAGTTCCAGTGGCATTAAATCAGTTGGAACAAGACTTAGGTCTAAACTGGAAAGCAAGAATCAATATAGAAAAGAGAAGGTAGAATAAAAGTCATATCTACGAAAAATAGCAAAATAAATGGGATCAAAAACTTAGAAGATGATAATTTTGTAATCATATTGCTACTTGAGTTACTACGTGACTTAGTTGCTTTGGGGTTGGATAGTTATACTACTTTGTGATTTGCTTGCTTTGGAATCGAATTACTTTATGATTGGCTCGCTTTGGGATTAGGATGGGTTATTTCATGAGAGATACTTTGAGCTGGGTTTGACTTATTTTGGCAATGAGCTGCTTTCTCTTTATGGTTGTTGTCTTTATGGTTTATAGCTTTGTTTTGATGGTGAATTACTTTGGAGCTGTTTCTTCACGATTTGGTTTACTTTTGGCTTAAGTAGCCTTGTTTTGGAATTGCTAATGGAAGAAAAAACGGTATTCCGGGCATGGTACAGAAAAACTTTAAAAACAAAAGTTGTAGCAAATTTTACCCTTTACACATTGCTTTCTAACACTTTTGCTCTCAAATGCATCAATGTAGAGAAATATTCGAAAATATGAAAATTAGAAGAATTTGTAGTTTCACAATTGGTTAATGGAAAAATACTGTATTTCGAGTATGATACAAAAAAACTTTTAGAACAAAAGTTGTAGCAAATTTTATCCTTTACACATTGCTTTCTAACACTTTTGCTCTCAGATGCATCAATGCCGAGAAAATTTCGAAAATATGAAAATTAGAAGAATTTGTAGTTTCACAATTGGTTAATGGAAAAAAAAACTGTATTCCGAGCATGATACAAAAAAACTTTTATAACAAAAGTTGTAGCAAATTTTATCCTTTACACATTGCTTTCTAACACTTTTGCTCTCAGATGCATCAATGTTGAGAAAAATGAACATTAGAAGAATTCGTAGTTTGACAATTGGTTAATGGAAAAAAAACTGTATTCCGAGCATGATACAAAAGAACTTTTAGAACAAAAATTGTAGCAAATTTTACCCTTTACACATTGCTTCCGAACACTTTTGCTCTCAGATGCATCAATGTCGAGAAAAATTCGAAAATATGAAAATTGGAAGAATTCGTAGTTTTTGTTTTGGGGTTGACTGGCTTTGATGATGGGTTACTCTGTAGTTGTGTTGCTATACAGTTAGCTTATTTTGAGGATAGAGTCGTTTACCTTGGAGATGATACTTTGTTCTTGAGTTGTTTTGCCGCACTGTTCACTAAAACTCGGCTTAACTTTATTAGAAAAATGCATGATTGTGCTTGATTATGCCGAGGTCGCTCGCGGCCGAGGCAGTATAATATTATATCAATTATATCGCCTCGGCCGCAAGCAACCTCGGTTTAACTTGAAGGAAAGATGCATGATTGTGTTTGCTTTTGACCAAAAATGTAAAAATTGAAATGAAATTGTAAAAATCTTCATTGATATTTATTCCTTAACACGTTAAGTGTTAAAATTTCCGAAATTCAACATCTGTTAGTGAAGAAAGGATCTAGAATTTTCAATTTTATTCTAACACATTAACTGCTTATGACTTGTAAAGACTTAATGAGGTATAAAATTAATAATAATAATAGGTTGTATTTAAAACTAATAGATCGAAGGAATTTCGTATAATTGAAATTTTCTTAACACATTGACTACAAATTTTTACTTTTGTTATGTAATTAACAACAAACGTATTAAGACATCAATTACAATCTTAAAAATTGTTTTATTGATAGAAATAATTATTAGCTTACTAAATTATTTCTAATTTCCTTAATTAGCAAACTAAGATTATTAATAAACATAATCTTTTAATAACCCGCAAAGTGATAACGAAACTAAAACAGCGTGTTTCGACCTCAACAATAAATAAAAAGCAAAGATAAGGGGATTTCTCGGGTCCATTCATCGTTATCCTCGGGTAAACCAAATAAAGTTAAAGAAAAAAAGTTTAATCGCGCTCAGGCCTTCCCCGTTTCCTAACAACCGGTCAGTTTAACCGTATAAAAGGATCAAGAACTCAGCAGATCCTCAAACCGTCTCAACCATTCGAAGACTCAACACCACAAAAAAAAATTCAACATGAAGGGATTCATCTTTTTCTTCGTTTTCGTCGCATCAAGCGTTTTCGCTTATGAAATCGTTTCTGATGGTGAACAAGAATATCTTTTGGTTCCTTTAGATTCTGGAGTTGAAGCGACAAGAACAAAAAGGTATTAAATAATTTTTATTTTTAATTAATTTAATTAAATTAATTTTATTTTTTTAGGCAAACTTCAGGAATTTACGATAGTGCTAGTAAAAGAGGTACTATTACCCACACTGGTACATTACTTAATAATAACAATCATAATCTTATGGGAACTGGGGCTATCTCTGGAGGAAGACACCAACCCGTAGGAATCGGAGGCGGTTTAGATTACACCCACAAACCAAGTGCGAGTACTTTCAGTGCTTCAGCTAATCATCTTCGAGGATTTGGAACTGACGTTGGTGCATCTGGTCGTTATAACTTTGTGAATAAACCAAATACGCAAGCTTACGTTGGAGGTAATTACAACAGACATTTTGGGGGACCCTTTGGAACTGGAAGACCTAATTATGGAGCTTTTGTCGGTTTAACTCATAGATTTTAATTCGTATTCTCAATTTATTTATTATTTACTTTTAAAATGTTCCTATAAATAAATTAAAAATTTTATATAAATTTATTGCATTATTCAATACCAACTTGTTGTTATTTGTAGCATCTTGAAGCTTCTATTCTCTATTGTAAATCTGCCATGTTTTGGCACTGTGAGCTATTTTGCATTTTGATACTTTCATCTTGAATTGTAAATCTGCCAATTTGTTGGTCTAATGTTAGTTCTAATGACAGTACAAGTGTAAAACTAGAACTAACACGACGTACCTCTCTTAAGACGGCTAAACCCAAATGATTCTATTTCTAGGTCTAGTGTTGGCTCTAGTTTTACACCAGCACAGTTACTATATAGAATTAGCACTATACCTAGAACTAGAATCATTTGAGTTTAGCCGCACGTCTCTAAAGACGGCTAAACCCGAATGATTCTAGTTCTAGGTATAGTGTTAGTTCTAGTTTTACACTTACACTGCCACTGGAACTAACATTAAACCTAGAACTAGAATCATTTGGGTTTAGCCGTACGTCTCTAAAGACGGCTAAACCCGAATGATTCTAGTTCTAGGTAGTTCTAGTTTTACACTTGCACTGTCACTAGAACTAACACTAGACCGAGAACTAGAAACATTCGGGTTTAGCCGCAAGTCTCTCAAGACGGCTAAACCCGAATGATTTTGAGAATTTGAGATTTTGAGAATTTTGAGACACGATGCCTTGGGTTCGTCCCATTTTTGTGCTCAACTATATGTATTAAATAAAATAAATAAAACAAATAAATAAAAGCGTCCAGATGCAATAACTCATGCTGCTAACAAGTTGGCAAACTTTTATCCTCAAATAAAAGCTTCCAAATGCAGTAACTCATGCTGCCAACAAGTTGGCAGCCTGTTAATGTCAAATAAAAGTTTTGAGATGCAATAACTCGTGCTGCTAATAAGTTGGCAGTTTTGCAATAGAGAATAGAAGCTTCAAGATATAATAGCTCATACTGCCAACAAGTTGGCAGATTTGCAATAGAGAATAGAAGGCTTCAAGATATAATAGCTCATGCTGCCAACAAGTTGGCAGACTTTTAATGTGAAATAAAAGCTTTGAGATGCAATAGCTCGCGCTGCCAACAAGTTGGCAGATTTGCATTAAAGAATAGAAGCTTCAAGATTCTAGTTTTTAGTTCTAGGTCTAGTCTATTTTAATCTCCTATCACTCTTATGATGATGCTGCAAGTATTCAAGCTGCTCTCTTATTCCTCTTATTAAAATTATATAATTAAATAAAACATAAATTTCTTATTACATTAAAAATTTATATTTTCAAATTTAACACTTAAAATTGTTACTCTCATATACGTTCGACATCCCTAAGTTTAACCAAAGCCTCGCTACTTCTCCAAATTTCATCACAAAACCTAGAATTTCGAGCTTTTTTCGGTTGTATAAATAATTTGCAATCAACCAAAAATCTTCCAGAAACCCCCTCCAATTCCTTCGATAAAGCACAATGAATTTGTGTTTGCGCACCTTCGTACATATTTTTACCGCATATTTTCAAAATGAAATACATAAAATAAAGGAGCACTTTATTAGCTTTCGGGCCCAATATGGTGCGATAAAGCATGTTCGATACCAAACCAGGATGAACCGCGTTACATGTAACTCCGGTTCCTTTTAATCGTTCGGCGAAACAGTTTGATGCGATTAATGATAAAAGTTTTGTGTTTCCGTATGTGTAAAAACGATTAAAAATTCCGTTCGTTTTTGAGCTTTTATTAAGCGATTCTAAGGTTAAATCTTCGAAGAAAGCTGTTACCGAGCTTAAAAATATAATTCTACTTGGAGCTGATTTTTTTAATAATTTCGTTAATAGATGTGTTAATAAAAACGGGCCGAAATGATTGATTTGAAATTGTAATAATAAACCATCTTTGGTGTATCTCTCGTTTACACCCCCAGCACCAGCGTTATGAATCAAAATGTCTAATCGTTCTTCTTCTTCGTTTATGATCGAAGCAAAATCTCTTATGGATTGTAAAGAAGCCAAATCTAAATGTCGATAGAAAATATTTGTGTTATTCGTTTCGTGAATAATTCTTTTTCTTGTTTCGATAGAGTCAACTCGATCCGCTATGATAACTTTAGCTCCTCTTCCGGCTATTGTTAAAGCGGTTTGAAATCCTAAACCCGAATTTCCACCAACAACAATCACGGTTTTTCCAATAAGACAAACATTGCTTTTACACACGCCCATCGTTAATTTCGAGGAGACTTTTGTCACAATCAATAAAACCACCATCCATTTTATTAATGGAAAAATTTTTGTTAGAATTAAGTTTCCATATAGAACCAAAAATTCAACCGTAACGATTTGCGCTAAAAACCATGGGCTTTGATTTGTACAATTTCCATTTGTCACACCCATTAACGGATTTAAATTAATCTCATTGGGAAAACCCATTATAAAAGGAGATATAAATGTAGATTTTATGGGTTAGGTTTTTTGAGGCTCTTTTGAAACGAGGCTTCATGAGAGTTAAATTTTTTTTGATAGATTAAACCAAAATTGACATTGTCAAAAAAATTATTTGATCAAAGTTGATCAAAGAAATCTTTATGCCGCCAATAAGTTAACATTTTGTTAATGCCAAATAAAAGCTTTCAGATGCTTTCAATAGCTCGTGTTACCAAAAAGTTGGCAGTTTTGCCATGAAGAATAAAAGCTTCAAGATATAATAAATAAAAGAAATAATAATTGATAATAATATATTAAATAATTATTCGTGAGATGATAAAGAAACTATTTTATTTCATATTAATATTTCGATCTTCATCAGAGTATAAAAATTATGTTTCTTAAGGAAATAACATAAATGAAACCATAAAACGTTTATAACAATAATTGGAGATGTAAAAAGTTTATGAAAAATAAAACGTGAAAAGTGACAACTTCAAAGAGACTAAAGAGTCTTTTATTCATCATAAGAGTGATAGGAGAGTAAAATAGACTTTAATGCAAATCTGCTAACTTGTTGACAGCGTGAGCTATTGCACCTAAAAGCTTTTATCTGACATTAAGAGTCTGCCAACTTGTTGGCAGCATGAGCTATTGCATCTCAAAGCTTTTATTTAATATTAAGAGTCTGTCAACTTGTTGGTAGCATGAGCTTTTGCATCTCAAAGCTTTTTTTTGACATTAAAAGTCTGCCAACTTGGTGGCAGCATGAATTATTATTATATCTTGAAGCTTCCTTTTTGCATTGTAGAATCTGTTAACTTGTTGGCAGCATGACCTATTATGTATTGAAGTTTCTATTATCTATTGCAAATCTGCCAACTTATTGGCAGTATGAGCTATTGCATCTGAAAGCTTTTATTTGGCATTAATGAATGTCAACTTGTTTTATAGCCGATTTAAAACATTATACAGTGTGTTAATTAATTATCGTACCCGACAAAGTATGCAACCAATATCACAGATTGGTATTGCAACGCGACGAAAGTTCCTAAAAACGATGGTGATAATTCATTAACTTTAAAACTCGTTTAAAATATATTTTAATAATTAAAAAAATATTTTAAATACAATTTAACAATTTTTAGTGTACCCATAGATTGAAATTAATGTTGAAAGTTAGATAGTTCTAAAAAGAACTGTTTCGAAAAATATAAAGCTAAATTATCCAAGCTACCACTATATATTGAGATATGCAGCCAATATTACACAGGTCACGTGGGTTACGATAATTAATAAACACAGTGTATAATATATTAATAAACATAGCTTAATGCAGAACATTTTGACATGAATGAGTTAAAGAAGAAATAATTGTCACGATTTATTAGCAGTTAGTTAACAGACGGTTAGTTAGATAATTTAACGCTGAAAAATAGAAACGTTCTTGTTTCGCCATACATTTTCAGACGATGAGAATGTCTCATTAGACAATGGATTGTATTAATTTAAAAATTGTTATTTAAAACAGCTAGCCAACAAAAGATGGACTGATTTTTGAAATTATTAGTATTGAAAGATTAATAATTACAATAAATTAATTCTTTTTTCTTGTTTCAGGTATGCTTCAAGTTCTTAAATTAATTCAAGTTATATTTTGGTGAGTAACAATTTTTGATTTGATTTTATTTTTATATAATTTAAATCTAAACGCCTAAGATGTTGGCAAAATAATATACATAGTTGTTAATATAGTTTTATACAAACGGCGTCTTTTTAAACTAAAATAATAATCATATTTGCTATTAAACAAATGGTTTGAACAAAACGGGAAACCCGATCCCATTGAAAATAATGGTTTTCGGTTGTATTCAAAAGCCGGTTGCGTGACCAGAAATTGTAAAAGTCCAAGTGGAGGATCGCGTCGTCAGCTCCCGGAACTCAACGGAAATGAGATTTCGCGTCATTCGGGCTTAAAGCTCTAAACGGATTTGGAATAGTCCGAAAAACCAGGACGTAAATATCGCTAATTAAAAAACTTTTCGTTTCGGTTTAGTTCGCGCACGCGACATCTGCTTGGTGGTATTTCCCCCTTTATGTCCCCCCTATGGTCCCCTTTTCCGTTTGTATTGAACGCGTGCCCCTGGTCTATGCATGTGTAACGCGATATTAATACTAAAGCAGGCGCATATTTGCAGCTGGGACTTTAGCTGTGCAATTTCACACATACTGTTTATGAAAATACAATTTTTTTGAAAGAATCTTTATTTGTGGGTTTTTGCGTGGGTTTGGTAATTCGTAAAATTCGTTCTTCCTTATTCGAACTTGAAGGTTTTGCAAGGTGGGTGATTCACCGTTGTAAACTTCGAAGAAGAACCGCCCGTTCAATGTTCAAAGTGTTCGTTGACCGATGCGAACTTTCGCTAGCTACAGATACATTTGCTTAATTGACCGCCGTAGGCGAATTTATGGCGATATAAATTCCCCCCAATTTGACGCGGACGCTGTTAAAGCTTGACGCATAATTCCCGTTGCAATTACGCAATGGGTTCCATTACATACTCCATCCAACACAGATTATTGCTTAATTGGGTTCTATTTTTAAAAAGAACTAAAATAGTAACATAATCGATGTTGTGAAAAGCTTCGTGAAACTTTTATTAAACAAATAAAAGAGATACTTTTAGAGACAGCGTTCAATAAAGCTTAATGTCCGCCTAGAGCTGTCAAAGTCTGAAAAGGGGGGAGACTTCGAAACTTCATCGAATCTCCTTTTGTGTTACCTACAAGAATTAAATTAAAAACTTCTATTTTATTTTTTTTGTTGGATAAAAAAGGAATGAAAATGAATAATAATTCATTGTCTTAATTCGTAAAAAGTTTTTGTTTTGGTGAAGAGAACCCATCTGTCTCCTCGAGGACAAAAGCTACAACTTAGAAATCAATTGCAGTGGTATTTCGTAGCCCGAGGGCCATCGTTTACGCCGTCGATGTCTTACCCCGGGTCACCCCATCCACTCGAAACCATGTCCTTTGGGGATGCGCGCCCTAAACGATGCTTCACGTTTTGTCTAACCTCTGTTTCATGACTTTTCCATCCTTACTCGAGGGGATGAAAATAAATAAGGATGGACGCGATGGCTTTAGTGGTCTAAAAAGAAAAAAAACAGCGTGAAGATATTAATAAAGGTTTTTTTTTACATACATTAAAACATGTTACATTTTAGTTTAGCATACGATAGTTGTGGAAAGAGCTGGGTGAGATATTTAAATGCTGGGACTTCAGGATTCAACGTTTTCACAAAGTTTTTTATCAAACCCAGTTTGATGTGTAGTAGAGGTAATATTACAGATGCTGGTCTCACCAGAGGCTTATTTAAGACATTGAAAGCACCAGTATCGTAATGTTCTCTAGAAGGCCAGTCTTTGCGCACATAATGATGCGCTCTCAGTTACACGGGTTGTAGGGTGTAAATAATTTCATTGCTGTAAGCGGGATGCCAATACCTCACTATCAATCTTCAACAACTTCAGATCTCTAGCTAAGTCACTTAGTTCTTTCTGTGACAGTTTATGGTTTATTTTGGCATCATAGTCGCTGCTAGATGACATATCTTCACTCTCTCCTTTACTCTGATCACTTTCACTGGATTGCATTAATCGGTCAGGAGGATTTGGTCTTGGTAAAGTTTCGCTGTGCGGAATCGGCTTTTTGGCTAATCTTATATTAGGATAAAGCAAACTTTTCTTTGTTTTTTTTTTTTGTTTATGCCGTCTAGGTTTATGTTACAGAAATAGCAATCGCAATGATCTGATATCTGTGACCATAACATTGGAATACCAAACTGTAAATGAGATAATCTATATTATAATTCTACATCTAATAATGTATTGTCTGCATTTAAAACAGAACGAATCAGGATTGTTCTTGCATTCAAAACTTTTGCTGCTGCTAGCCATTATCAACAAAACTTTTACATCACTTTGCTATTTTCTTAAACGAAAGATCACTGACACCTTAGTCAAGAAGAACTAAATATTATGACAATATATTCTCCTTTTATACCAAAAAATATTTCAAAAGAAGACTGTTTAGTAGTTATTAAAAAACACTTTTTCACAGAAAATGATTGTTTTCTAACAATGAGAATTTCTTTGCCAAAAAAGGTTTAACAGATAAACGCGCACGTTCTTAAAAACTTTTTCCAAGAACGTTATTGTTTGTTGTATTTAAAAAATAATAATATTTGTTTCAGTGAATTTAATGTTTATACTTAATGCCTGGAAACAACGGAGCAGTCCGATTTATGCCATCAATACCTCAAAATGTTCGCCTGGATCTCTACTTTCATGTCCATATAGCTATAGAAGCACACTATGCAAAATAAAAAATATACTGAACATAAACCGTTACTATGTTTTTAAATTTACGATTTTCCACATTTTTGGGTATATCTCGAAAACTGGACGTGATCAAGAAAAACTGAAAACAATTTCAGAATCAGCACAACATTCTACGTTATAAAAAAGTATCGCAGTCTTCGAGGAAAAAATTGATTAAAATTTGTAAAAGGACCATAATTATTCAATAGTTGACTAATTTCTTCTTTTATTAATTTACGGTTAGGTTGTCTGTATGCACAAATTATTGTCACTGGTGTCATGTTCTTTGGATAAAGTTGGATAGCAACCGTCTTTAGCGAAGTATTCACTAGGTCGTAAGGTTTATGTTTTAATGTACGTTTGATTAGTACCGCCTGAAGCTGTTTGAGAGTTGCGGTCAAATCTATAGATATTAAAACCAGGTATTCGGAACTCTTCTCCCAGAACTAGATGAGTTTCGGTGACACCAAACTCTATTGGTAAAAGCCAGAAAAATTATCTCTTGCTTAAAAAAATCCTTACATTTACCAACTCGTGTTGGGAAATCTTAAGATTTACTAGTTAAACCTAAGATTTACCGTAGTTCGGGCTTTTACAGTAACATATCCATCGAATAGAATGAAATATGATCTATCAAAATATACAAAAAAAAACTATGTAACAATGTTGGTTACCATAGCAACGAAATTAAGAACAATACGAACAAACAAATATAGCCATAATTAAGCAGGTAACTTTTATTTGAAACATTTTTCATTTA